ATGTATCAAAAGTTTTACAATGTGGTCCTTCTTTTAGATTCCGTTATTTTTTCTACCTGTGTCAATGGGGAGGTTTTTGATGGAAAAAATAACAAAATGACCACTTTACAACATTTTTACTACATTAAAGGTGCAATATAGAAAATTTTAAATTTGAATGTACAAAGTGGGAATCCTTAAATTTTTCAGTGTGCAAAATGAAATTCGCCCTTGAATTTAATTAGATAGACCCTAGTGAAGATATGTAATGGTTAGTTAGATGTGAACAAATGCTCTAGGCTGGCTGTGTTTTCGGTATTTGCTCTTAGAAGATATTTTCCAAATGAGTAAGTTCCTTTACACAGAATTCATTGGTTATCTACTTCATAAACGTTCACTTCGGACTCCTATATGATACACATGAAAAAGAACAAATCATAATGTCACTATCTAATCTCGCATTAACCAAATGAAATAAGACAATACATTGCAATCTGCTGCTGACACAGATGACATTCAAGTTTTTGTGAAAGTTTCATCTATGGCTTCTTAATTTATGCATTATAGATAGCAAGCAACGGGCACTTTCTCGTCGCCTTCCCCATTTCAATCTCTTCTGTGCCATTAAACCAGATGAAACAAGACAATACCCCAGCTCATGCATGGCATTTTGCATTTGTATTGATAGCAACATAAAAGCCACGTGATGTGAGGTGAAATGACTCATTCATATCTATAGGAGGAGATAGTCTGTTTTAGTGTTACGTGGTCAGTAAGTCTCCGAAAATCCATTCTTGAGTTATATAAAAAGGTCAAAGAATATAGTGGGTTTTGCTTGCAGTCATGGTAGGTAAGCTAATATTAAGGTAATCTAATATTGGAATAGGTCTAGATCTACCCTAAACAGAACATTTGGTTGCAGTAATATGAACATACTACTTATTCTCCGTGCCTGAAGGCACAGAGTAATTAAAAAAAATGGTCAACATATTTGTATTTACACTCAAAATCAAATAACAAGCATAAAGGAGAGATAAAAAAATTTAAGCACTGATTGTAGTGGAGGTGAGCGATGATAGTGGTGGTAGCAGCAGCTGTTGGTGACAATGGTAATGGTGATGGTGGGTTTTAAGTGACGATGATGATAATGACAGCCGTGGGTGGCAATGGTGGTGGTAGTGAGTATGGGTGGTGGTGGACGACGGTGATGGTGATTGACAGTGGTTATGGTGGAATGATGGTGATGGTAGTTAGCAGTGGTGATGGTAGAATGACGACAGTGGTGGGGGGTAGTGATGATGATGGTGGTGGACGACGATAGATGCTTCTAGGTGACAGTGTGATGAATGTTGGTGAATGGCGACGGTGGTAAGCATGATGGGGATAGGTGACAGTGAGTGACTACAGTAATGGGCGATAACCGGTGGTGGTGGTCGGTGTGTTAGGGTAGGTGACAGTGGCCGATGGTAATGAGTGATGGCGGGTGTTGACGGTGGTAATGATAATAAATATAAAAATAAGATGACGGTGGTAGTGGGTGGTAGCCATGGACGATAATGATAGCAATCGGTGATGGATGGCCATGGTGGTAGTGGTAATGGTAGCGGTGGGGTGGGGATGGAGGGCAGTGGCGATGATGATAGTAGTTGTGATGGTCATGGGGGTGATGGTAGGATAGTGGGGGTAGTAGGGGTGATGGTGGAACAATAACGATGCTGGTAAAGTGCGACAGCAGTGGTGATGATGATAGGGTGCGGCAATGGTGGTGGTGGGGTGATGGAAGTGATAGTGGTAGCGGGACAGTGGTGGTAGTGGTAATAATTATGGTAGGGGTAGTGATGGGCAGTGGTTGTAGTGGTGGGCGGTGGTGGTGAGAGTAGCAGTGGTGGAGAGGTTCTAAACACTATTTTTTTAAAAAAAAGTACTTATGAAAAATAATTTTTAGAAAGACTTTTAAAAAGTCACTCCAAACACATTCTTAGGAACCTATTTTTCATATTAAATTTGGAATGTTAATATTAGCCGTTAGATTAACTTTAAAGTATCAACCGCGAATAGCAAAAATTATTTTGTTTATCTTTTAAAATTTAAATTATATTGTGTTTTATTATATAGATTCTCTAAAGCACTTGTGATGTTGGTCATTGGACTAAAATATGGTTTGCAAATATCAGTAACTTCATTCATACTTTTGGGTAGATCTATGCTAAGCCGGTTGTTTATAGGATGGTGAATGGTGAATGGTGATTCAGTGCAACCTTGTCATGACCATAGCTTAAACAAGATATATAATACATACATACAAGCATTGAGTTCTTTTGTGACTTAGGCACATACTTACATTGAATTGTCTACACCACTTTCTTGATTTTGCACAATGGTAACAATCGTCTTCCTTATTAAAGGACTTTTTCAATACACTTGACAAATTCCTTAATGAATCATGAAGAACAGACTGACTAATTCTTTAGCAAGAAGTAAATATCATGCTGAACAATAAGCAATTCTTGGTAACTTCGGTTAAGTTAGTTTTCACTTTTTCTAAGGAAAAAAGTAAAATAAAGCGTAAAATAATGTTTCTTTTTTGACAAAAATAATTTATTATAGCCATCAAATTTAGATAAGATCCAATTTCTATCCAAAAAATTATAATATAATAGGCCCCAAATTACATTTGTAAATTAGGTAGTGATTTTCACAAAATATCTTTGAAAATGAAAAAAAAATGCATTTTTTTCTCTAAAAACAAGATAGTTTTTTTTTTTGTCAAAAAATTAAAAAAAAAAAAANGGTGACAGTGGCCGATGGTAATGAGTGATGGCGGGTGTTGACGGTGGTAATGATAATAAATATAAAAATAAGATGACGGTGGTAGTGGGTGGTAGCCATGGACGATAATGATAGCAATCGGTGATGGATGGCCATGGTGGTAGTGGTAATGGTAGCGGTGGGGTGGGGATGGAGGGCAGTGGCGATGATGATAGTAGTTGTGATGGTCATGGGGGTGATGGTAGGATAGTGGGGGTAGTAGGGGTGATGGTGGAACAATAACGATGCTGGTAAAGTGCGACAGCAGTGGTGATGATGATAGGGTGCGGCAATGGTGGTGGTGGGGTGATGGAAGTGATAGTGGTAGCGGGACAGTGGTGGTAGTGGTAATAATTATGGTAGGGGTAGTGATGGGCAGTGGTTGTAGTGGTGGGCGGTGGTGGTGAGAGTAGCAGTGGTGGAGAGGTTCTAAACACTATTTTTTTAAAAAAAAGTACTTATGAAAAATAATTTTTAGAAAGACTTTTAAAAAGTCACTCCAAACACATTCTTAGGAACCTATTTTTCATATTAAATTTGGAATGTTAATATTAGCCGTTAGATTAACTTTAAAGTATCAACCGCGAATAGCAAAAATTATTTTGTTTATCTTTTAAAATTTAAATTATATTGTGTTTTATTATATAGATTCTCTAAAGCACTTGTGATGTTGGTCATTGGACTAAAATATGGTTTGCAAATATCAGTAACTTCATTCATACTTTTGGGTAGATCTATGCTAAGCCGGTTGTTTATAGGATGGTGAATGGTGAATGGTGATTCAGTGCAACCTTGTCATGACCATAGCTTAAACAAGATATATAATACATACATACAAGCATTGAGTTCTTTTGTGACTTAGGCACATACTTACATTGAATTGTCTACACCACTTTCTTGATTTTGCACAATGGTAACAATCGTCTTCCTTATTAAAGGACTTTTTCAATACACTTGACAAATTCCTTAATGAATCATGAAGAACAGACTGACTAATTCTTTAGCAAGAAGTAAATATCATGCTGAACAATAAGCAATTCTTGGTAACTTCGGTTAAGTTAGTTTTCACTTTTTCTAAGGAAAAAAGTAAAATAAAGCGTAAAATAATGTTTCTTTTTTGACAAAAATAATTTATTATAGCCATCAAATTTAGATAAGATCCAATTTCTATCCAAAAAATTATAATATAATAGGCCCCAAATTACATTTGTAAATTAGGTAGTGATTTTCACAAAATATCTTTGAAAATGAAAAAAAAATGCATTTTTTTCTCTAAAAACAAGATAGTTTTTTTTTTTGTCAAAAAATTAAAAAAAAAAAAATAGTGCTACATAATTATTCAGATATATATAATACTTGTAATTAATATGAACAAAGATGAACTGATGCAGGAAACACACGTATATCACTACAATTGGTCAAGAAAGATGGTGCGAAAAAGACAAGCATAAACAAGCAAATCCCTTTGTCAGAATTTATTATTGCTGTGATATGATTTGTGGACAGAGCATTGTTTATTTCTACAGAAGTTTGTTTACTACTAGCCGTTGCTGTCCAGTCCTGCTCTGTGGTCAACCAAAACAAAAGCTACCATTACGATATTGTTGGAAAACACGTCAATTATTCGCCTTATTTTGTTTTACTTCACTTCATTGAACTCGACTCCTTCATCAACCTAATCACACTGATAAATAAAATTTATTTGAAACAAAAACTCAACATACAATTCATTATTATTATTGGATAAGTTAGGGGTAAAAATCGCGTGTTCACATCTCATCCCTGAATACCAAGGATTCTGACTGACCTGCACCCTTTTCTAAGGTAATACAGTAGTTTTTACCTCTCAGTGCCCGTGTGGAGTTTCGTCCCATATCGACTTAGAGTGGTCTTCCCCACCCCCTTATAAGCCTGAGCCCCTTAGGGATGGGTACCCATTAGCGACCTGATCAGGTGTTCCAAGCAGCAAGGTTGATCATTCGACTCGAGTTCACCACGAAAGAGATTTGTTCTTGTGTTTACATTGTGTAAGATCCTGCACGCCCAGGATACAATAAGAATTACATTATGAAGGGTTATTTTTTATTATTTTATCAGAGATTATAATTTAATAATATAATATTATATATAGCAATTAGATGATAACTACTCGATAAAATGCCAGACCATAATCGTCGTTTATTTATTGTGTAACAATTACTCTATTTACTAACAGGACCACTTCGTTTTCCTTGTTTGTAGCCAGTGGAGAGGTGAATGTGCGTGGACTGGTTATGAGAGTCAGTTCTATCTTCTAGTAGTCCTACTTATCTTTCTCTCTCTTAAATTCCAAGAAGAATAAATGCAGAAATGAGCGATAAATGAATTCATGGCATCTTCAGGTCCAACTACTGATAAAAATTCCTTCTTTCTTTTATGTCTCTATGTCTTCCTTGGCTTGTTTATTACATGCATTAAAGCATCAGAGAGATATTCTAAGTCGTCCCAGGAATCAGATAGAGTAATAAATCTACCAGGACAACCCTCAAGTCCTTCAGTCTCACACTTCTCTGGCTACATCACAGTCAATCAGAACCATGGCAGGGCCCTTTTTTACTGGTTCTTTGAGGCTCAATCTCAACCTTCCAACAAGCCCCTGCTTCTTTGGCTTAATGGAGGTACCTACCTATATAAACATGATGTCTTTCAAGTGGTTAAGTTGTCTGATTTTCTCTCTCTTCTTTTGTGGGTTTGCTTTTCTTGAAGGGCCTGGTTGTTCATCAATTGGGTATGGTGCAGCAGTAGAGTTGGGTCCTCTCAGAGTCACTCAAAATAGAGTTGGCCTTGATTTCAATATCCATGCTTGGAATAAAGGTTTATTTCCCATTTTGTATTGTTCTCTCTCTGTTGTATCTATCTCTTATATATAACAAGTTGGAGGGGGAGTAATAGACAAAGTTATTACTTAGTGGATACTAAAAATTGCAACCATTTTTATTCTCTGTGCAGAAGCTAATTTGCTATTTCTGGAGTCCCCAATTGGAGTGGGGTTCTCTTACACTAACACATCCTCTGATCTCACCAAATTGGATGACAGATTTGTGGGTAATTAAAACTATCTATGAAGTGGGCTTTGTCAAATTAATCCCAAAATTTCTATAATCATTGACTTATGTTATATGTATTTTTGCTTAGCTGAAGATGCCTATAATTTCTTAGTGAATTGGCTGCAAAAATTCCCACAATTCAAATCTCATGATTTCTACATATCAGGAGAGAGTTATGCAGGTAATATAATAGCTAGCCCAAACTGGCATTTTTTTTTTCCCATCACCAAGCTTACTATCTGTTTACTCGTGAACAATGGTCCTTCCTTTCTGATTTGTAGGCCATTATGTGCCTCAGTTGGCAGAGCTCGTGTATGACCGGAACAAGGAGAGAGCAAAATACCCCTATATCAATCTCAAAGGTTTCATAGTACGTAGACCTGTGCTGCATTTTTTTTCCATAGACAAATTGCTAATAAACTCCATTGACACTGTTTCTAGCTGGTACTTCACACCATAACTGCATGGAATGAAGGAAATCCAAAAGTGGAACGCGAGAAATTAAGAGAGTGAACTAGAAATGGAGCATTTGTACAGAGTTTAAAAAAAACACTTGTACAGATTTTATTTTAATTGCATGTGAAATAGCATGAAATTCTTGTACATAAATTGGAAAACCATTAGCTGCTAGTGAATTGTCTGATATATTGCAGGTAGGTAATCCTGAAACCAATGATTACTATGATTATAAAGGAATACTAGAGTATGCATGGAGCCACTCGGTAATATCAGATCAGGAATATGATAAAGCCAAAGAAGTATGTGATTTCAAGCTCTCCGACTGGTCTAACGAATGTAACAATGCCATGAACGTAGTCTTTGATAAATATGAGGAGATTGACATCTACAATATATATGCCTCGAAGTGTCTTCTGAAAGACTCGTCTTCATTAGCTGATGGTACAGACGGTGGCAGCCATATCTCTTCCACAAAGGCAAGTCGGACAAGGAGGCCACTGCCTATTCATTACTTTTTATAATCATACAAAAATTTTGAAAGTGTGGTTAGTTTCTAAGTTGGTGGAAGATTTTGCAGGCCCAGAATTATGGGATCCGGAGGATGAAAATAATCCCCGGAGGTTATGATCCATGTTACTCACCACACACAGAGGAGTACTTCAATAGGATGGATGTTCAAACAGCTCTCCATGCAAACATTAGAGGTGTCGATGCATATGTCAAGTGGAACGTCTGCAAGTAAGTTAGCTGGCTTATCCATGTATAGTGTCGTATTGATGTGTTATTTGTGTTATCTCTTTCATGCGTTCTGTTGAAAGGCTCCATTGTGTTTTGTTAAATGAGTAGTTCTTTCTAATAACTTCTTCATTTTCCTCCCCTGCCCCCCAACAAAAAAAATTAGTGATTCTGTCTTCAGGACATATAACTATACTGTCTTCTCTATCCTACCCATCTACAAAAAACTCATCAAAGGGGGCCTCAAAATTTGGATGTACAGGTACTACTCAATTACGTTAATCTTATTTTGTATTTTACTATTATGTGTGATCTACTACTACTTGCATGGCTAATACCTTTCCCATCTATAAAAGTTAATAATCCTGTATCGTGTAGTTTTAAGATGACCAGAAATAGTTACGAGCCATGACCAACATGGCATTGGGACCATGTCTTGTATACATTACATGAGTTCAGAACATTTTTCTCTCCTAAAAAAGAATGTGTCCAAAGGAAGCACCAATAGTCTTGTTCTAACTATGTGAGATGGGCTTGTAGCTTACTATGGGAATAAAAAAATTTCAATTTGATACAAATCCTAAACAGGAATTATATTCAACTTGGGGCGTGTGAAGCTTTGAGTGTCTCTGCTATTGTGCCCTTGCGGTATGAAAAACTACACTATTTGTCATGACATACCATAGGAAAAGATATAAGGAAAAATTAACTTCTGACAGAATACTTCTCATGTCTACCATATTTCAGCTTTAACTTTACACCCCAAAATGCTTGTGGTGGTCTGCCTTCGTTGTTTAATTCAAAATAAGCAATGATCTCATATTTGCTTTCGGGTGTTTGTAACAGTGGGGATGCCGATGGCAGAGTTCCAGTAATAGGATCAAGATATTGCATTGAAGCTCTTAAACTGCCTCTCAAATCCCCATGGCATTCATGGTACCACAATCATCAGGTTTGTGCTGCTGTCCCTAGATGAAATGGAAGTTCTTAAACTATCTAGCATTCTGATTTGAAGTAATAGAGGAGCACTCTTACTAAGTCAAATGATTCAAAGGACTCTTATCACCACCTTCAGGGGGAATTTACCAGTCATGTTAGAAAATCTTCTAAACAACCCAAATGTTCCAAGAAAGCAAGATACCTCTAGGCTCTAGCAATACTAATGCCTTTGACTACTGAGCCACACTTAAATACTTCGGTGATATTTGAACAGTATGGTCAAATTTGTAGCCTCTAGTACATGGGAATTAGTGAAGTGGTTGCCTTTGCAAAATGTCAGCCAATATTTGCAAAATGCTTTGTCCTGTACCTGGTTCAGTTTCAAGTTCATGGTGCAAAGCTTGTGTTGTTTGAGCCAGGCCCTGTTTGTGTCGAGGATGTTCTCAGTCTGTAATGAGCAGACAGTGGAACTGTTTGATCAATGACAGGTTTATAACTACTTGGTGCTTCAGGTTATGATATAGTGTTGATTGAAAGTGCAGGTGGGAGGGAGAATGGTAGAGTATGAAGGGTTAACGTTTGTGACGGTGAGAGGTGCAGGTCATTTGGTACCTCTCAACAAGCCCAGTGAGGCCCTCTCCCTCATCCACTCTTTCTTGTCTGGCGAACATCTTCCAATACACAGATAAAAGTGCTTCCTCTTTATATTTCCACTGAATTGCATAGTGACAATGTAGTGACCAAATTGGATGAGTTTATTCCAAGAATCTTCTCAATTGTATTATTTTGTTCAACTCAAATAGTCAAGAACAAGTTGGGGCAACAAATTCTGGTACCATTGTTTGTTTTTTCTTCTTCCATTGCTCCTTTTGGTTTGTTAGCAAGCAACCTTGGCCTCTTATGGAAGTTTCATTTCCTTTCTTCATCCCAAATTGTGATTGTTGTTGTTTTTATCAATGTTGTCACTCCCTCTCTCTCTCTCTCTCTGTGTCGTGCTGCCAGGGTGAATCCACACAAGCATATTTGTTGATGGCAAACCAAGACAGTAATAATGGATACAACAAGATGAGTCTAATGTAGCTGATTATCTTAACCGTTTGAGTTTTTCTTCGGTCCCGTTCTCGGCGCACTCCTATTCTCACAACAAAGCTTCGTTAAAAGGAAGTCCTATTCCAAGGAGGAAGAAAGCTGTGGAGGAAAGGGGACTGGATGAGCAGACTTATTCTATTTATCAAATCAAAAATTAGCTTAAATAAATCACTTATCATTAATATCAACCCAAATCTTTGATCAAAAAAAAAAAAAGCCCAAATCATCTCTCTCAATATAAATTGATTGACTTTGATTATCTACTTATTGACAGTTCAAAAAACATAAAATTGGAAAATTTTCATCTACTTGATGAGGGTCAATCTCCTTTGCACCCAAAAAAAAAAATTTTGAATTTATTTGTCCCTAGTCTCGGTGTAAACGATTTTTTATTATCGGATCGGAGAGGAGATTAGTTAAGGTGCACGTAAGTTGACTCGGGTATTTATCACCGTTGAAACAAAAAAATAAAAATTGAATGCAGAGGCATGTATAATTTCCGTTGTTAACAGCACCAAAATGGGTAAAGTAATTTTCTCAGTCCGTCGTACTAAAACACACGAACGCCATGCCATTAGCCCCGGTCCCAAGTAATTCTGAATTCTAGAGTCAATTTTTCTCTCTACGAAATTATCATAATTAAATATTTAGAGAAATTTACAGATAAAAAAACAGTATTTTTCTGTTAAAATAGAAAGTTAATCAGAGTTGTCTACAATATTTTAACCTCCATTTCAAAATTTTGTCAAAAATATTTTTTATTTAAAAAATTAGTCTTTAAAATAGAGAATATTATATTCTAATGTATCTTAATTATTAGGGTTAATTATATTAGTGATTCTCAAAGTATTGAGTTTGTTTCATTTAGTTTCCTAACATTTTAATTGCATCATTTTAGTCTTTAAAGAATTGAATATGTTTCTATGTGATCCTTCAAGCAAATAACGTGTAAATTGTTAACAATTTTTTATTATAAATTTGTTACGTAATACCTAAATATTGACAAAAAAAAAAAAAATTTNGCTCCTTTTGGTTTGTTAGCAAGCAACCTTGGCCTCTTATGGAAGTTTCATTTCCTTTCTTCATCCCAAATTGTGATTGTTGTTGTTTTTATCAATGTTGTCACTCCCTCTCTCTCTCTCTCTCTGTGTCGTGCTGCCAGGGTGAATCCACACAAGCATATTTGTTGATGGCAAACCAAGACAGTAATAATGGATACAACAAGATGAGTCTAATGTAGCTGATTATCTTAACCGTTTGAGTTTTTCTTCGGTCCCGTTCTCGGCGCACTCCTATTCTCACAACAAAGCTTCGTTAAAAGGAAGTCCTATTCCAAGGAGGAAGAAAGCTGTGGAGGAAAGGGGACTGGATGAGCAGACTTATTCTATTTATCAAATCAAAAATTAGCTTAAATAAATCACTTATCATTAATATCAACCCAAATCTTTGATCAAAAAAAAAAAAAGCCCAAATCATCTCTCTCAATATAAATTGATTGACTTTGATTATCTACTTATTGACAGTTCAAAAAACATAAAATTGGAAAATTTTCATCTACTTGATGAGGGTCAATCTCCTTTGCACCCAAAAAAAAAAATTTTGAATTTATTTGTCCCTAGTCTCGGTGTAAACGATTTTTTATTATCGGATCGGAGAGGAGATTAGTTAAGGTGCACGTAAGTTGACTCGGGTATTTATCACCGTTGAAACAAAAAAATAAAAATTGAATGCAGAGGCATGTATAATTTCCGTTGTTAACAGCACCAAAATGGGTAAAGTAATTTTCTCAGTCCGTCGTACTAAAACACACGAACGCCATGCCATTAGCCCCGGTCCCAAGTAATTCTGAATTCTAGAGTCAATTTTTCTCTCTACGAAATTATCATAATTAAATATTTAGAGAAATTTACAGATAAAAAAACAGTATTTTTCTGTTAAAATAGAAAGTTAATCAGAGTTGTCTACAATATTTTAACCTCCATTTCAAAATTTTGTCAAAAATATTTTTTATTTAAAAAATTAGTCTTTAAAATAGAGAATATTATATTCTAATGTATCTTAATTATTAGGGTTAATTATATTAGTGATTCTCAAAGTATTGAGTTTGTTTCATTTAGTTTCCTAACATTTTAATTGCATCATTTTAGTCTTTAAAGAATTGAATATGTTTCTATGTGATCCTTCAAGCAAATAACGTGTAAATTGTTAACAATTTTTTATTATAAATTTGTTACGTAATACCTAAATATTGACAAAAAAAAAAAAAATTTGATAATTCTTTGACCAAAATTTGGGTAAAGTTTATAATAAAAAATCCTTAATATTCTAGACGCCGACAGCTTAAGTGGTCACATAAAAATATATTTAATATTTCAAAAATTAAAACGATGTAATTAAAATACTATGGATTAAAATGAGATAAATTTTAGGGAATTAAGCCTAATTATTAAATTAGTAGTGAGTATTAATCAGTTGTGGAGTCCACTAATTGTTGAGTAGCATTATAATCTTCCCGAGAGTTACATGTGCCCAGTTGTTGGGTATTAGCGTCCAATTTCGTTCGGCGTCCTTCCCCTCGGCCATAGGATATCTCGGCTACTTCTAAAACCCCAAGTTGCCGACGTTTCCAACACAATGTGGATGACAACTCGCCATTTCAACAAAGGAGACAAGGTCGAGGTCTCAAAAAATGACGCCATTAGCAACTACTTCAACTCCGTATGGTTTCCGGCGATCATTCTCCGATCATCTTCTGCGAACCACAAGGACCAGATTTTCGTTGAGTTTGAAACCCTTATTTTCAATGACAAGTCCTGGAAACCACTGAAAGAGTACGCCAATGTGGCTATTGAATGTTAGAAAAATAAGGTAAATGCTCGGCCAAATGTCGGACATTTATGTCACTCCCCGAGTACCCAAATCTCTCAAATCAACATCCGATATCAACTCAGCATTAAATAATCGGAAGAGCCAATCACGTCGTTTTGATAAATCAGCCATTAATGCTCAACCATCATGGCAAGAGGCTTAGACTCTCAAAGAACAAATACTAGCAGACGCGCATTTATTTGTCTTATCACTATCATTCATTCCGTCATTAATGAGTATGATATCAACTGTCGTACTCGATTATTCCATATCATCATACTTTGACTTACTTTTTGGCACCGATCGATTTCATTGTTTCACGTGTCAACCCGCGACCGTAGAACCATCGAGAGTCCCACCAGGTTCTATGAAAATGGGTGGAGAAGGGGGATAGTCAGGAACATACTCGAGAATTCCAAGTATTTGGTGTGCATTGAGGGTGTCAATGATGAAATTGAGGTTGAACAACGGAATTTGAGGATTCATCGTGACGGGGACGATGGAGCTTGGGTTCCTCCCCTCTATAATCAGGTATTGATCAACCTAGAGATATAGGGGTGGGTCGGTACTTGGTAGGGGCTTGGCAATGTGGGATTTGATGCTTGATGCTACTTGGTTGAGTTTTGCATTGCTGTTTGTTTGTGTATTGATTGTTCCACGACCTGTTAAATATTTATTTCTGTTGTAGTTGTTTATTAGTTCTTCTTTTGCTGTTCTAGAACGGATTCTTTAAATCCACTTTATTCTGCACAATACTACTGATTAGGAGATGATAGGTGGCTTAAAGCTTGGGTGTTTTCTAAGTGTCTCATTCAAGATGAATTTTATTAAAATATGGAATGCGTAGAAGAAAAGTTTGGTTCCATGTTGTCAGGTAATTACCTTCATTAGTTTGTGGGAAATTGGATTATCTATCTATTCAACAGAAAGAAGCTGACACAGTTTTCACGTTTCACTTTTCTCCTTAATTTGGCTATATATTACTCAATCTTGGATTCCAGTTTTCTGAAACTTTCCTTCTGAACCTTCAAAAGTTCGTGCACTCAATCATCCAATTTTCAGGATTTTAGTTCATAGATGAAACAGCTGACACAATGTGCTTTGCAAAGAGCTTATTTCGGTTGTTTTTTTTTCCTTCTGAGTTTCTTGCGAATTCGATTTAGTAACTTCCTGGGATATTTTTTGCGCATCTATCTATATGTTAGATGATTGCTTTTTACGAGTAGTCCTATGAAAATCAAGATCAGTAAACTAATTGAAGCTTTGGGAAAAGGTCATTTGTATTAACTCTGTTGACCCCACAGAGAAGTTGTATTGATAAATTTTTAATTATACTTGTGTCAGTCAAAGATAACAGGTGTCTGGGTGTTGTTGGGCACTACGTCTCTTTTATATTATGTGTTTTCCCGCTTTGTTCTGATGTGCCATGTTTTATCTAATATTCTTATATCTCCTGTCAAATAATTTGAGATCCTTGCTTTAAATGTATGAAAAAAAATGTGCATAGTACATAAACGGAGTTCTATGAAATCTGTGTGGTTTTTGAAAGCTTATTAAGGTCTAGATGCATCTACACCAACCAGACATCAAGCAGTCACAACATATACCCGCTCCAATAAGCATGCCCCTTTTTTGGCTTGCATGAGTCTTTGTTCAGTAGTTCTGTTGTTATATAATAACATATGGATCGAGCCAGGTTACCTACAGTGAATGTTTTTTGCATAATCATTGTACTTGTGCTGAATATTTGAAATCGCTTTTTTTTTCCGATAAAGTCAGTATTAGAAAACCAGAAAAAGTCACCTGAGTTGGAGGTGAAGCCCGGATTGGTGAAAGTTAGGATAAAGTATAGTGGAAGAGCATCAGATGCAAAGTTCAGCAAGGGGACTATGGTGGAGGTCAATAGTGATAAGGAAGGATACCGGGGTTCTTGGTATACTGCAGTCATTGTTGGGTTAGTAGGGAATAACAAGCTTTTGGTGGAATATCAGATGCTGAAAAGAAATGACGGAAGTGAACTCCTTACAGAGGAGGTAGATGTTTCATGTGTCAGGCCTTGTCCCCCTGGTATTCAACAGTTAGATCGTTATGAACAGCATGAACAAGTTGATGCTTGGTACAACAGTGGATGGTGGGTGGGTCATATTGCCAAAATTCTTAATGAATTGAAGTACAGAGTCATCTTTGGGACCCTGAAGGAGGAAAGCGTATTTGAACATTGTAGATTGAGGCCTCATCAGGAATGGATAGAGGGTAGATGGGTTGCTGCCTCTAAGGTATCACTTCTATATATTCCTTGCTCCTATTTTTTTCCTTGGGTGATTTATTTTATAATGCATAGATTCTTGTTACCACATTCACATTTATCTCAGTGCACAATTTATAAACCTGTCTTCCACCAAGGACATATCCCTAGTAAATGTTGCTTCAGAGTTATATTATTCTATATCCGAAAGATGAGGCACAATCTTCACAGTTTCCCTTTCTTTAATTTCAAGTGTGCTCCATACCTTGAAGTTTCAAATGCATATTTCACCTGATTTTAAGTTGTAGTCCCAAGAGTTCAAAATCAAGATAAAATGCTGTGGAAGAAAGTCAGAGCCAAATTTCAACAAGGGGATGCCAGTTGAGGTCAAAAGTGATGAAGAAGGATACCAGGGGTCTTGGTATACTGCAGTTACTATGGGCTCAATAGGCATTGACAAGTTCTTGGTGGAGTACCAGACGCTGAAAACAGATGATGAATCTGAACTCCTTAAAGAAAAGGCAGATGCATCATATATGAGGCCGTGTCCCCCTGAAATTGTACGGGTCAACCGTTTCCAAATGCTTGAAAATGTTGACGCATGGTATAATGATGGCTGGTGGATGGGTCTTATCAGTAAAGTTCTTGATGGCTTAAAATATGCAGTCTATTTCTGGACCACGAAAGAGGAGCTGGTATTTGAACATGCAAACCTGAGACCCCATCAAGAATGGATTGATGGGAAATGGGTTCTTGCAGTCAGGGTATGACTTGTACTCTTGCAACTTTTCCAGTGGATTTTGATATTACATCTGTTTGAATGCTATGCTTCCATAATCACAGAGCAATAATTATTTTTCATTCACTGATTAGATTTCCCAAATGTGTGCAGTCATCAAACTGAGCTATTTCAAGTTTAAACGGATATGTACAACTTTCATCTTTTCCTTTTTTTCCTTGTGGTTTTGCTTGTAATCAATGAGTTGCAATGCAGAAAAGCTCCAAGTTGCCGGTGAAATGGAGACATGGAAAATGGAAGAGACAACATAATGTAGAAACATTGGAAACACATTTTAGCATAGGAACAAAAGTAGAAGTAAGAAGTGATGAAGTAGGTTACCAGGATTCTTGGTACCCTGCAGTCATTGTTGCCGCGGTAGGAAGTGGGAAATATCTGGTAGAATACCAGACACTGAAAGCAGATGATGAAATTGAACTCCTTAAAGAAGAGGCAGATGCTCTGTGCATAAGGCCTTGTCCCCCTGTAATTCACCGGGTTGACCGATTTAAATTACTTGAAGAAGTTGATGCTTGGTATAATGATGGGGGGTGGACTGGTCGGGTCTTCAAAGTTTTTGAGGGCTCAAAGTACACAATCTATTTTCCAACCACAGATGAGGTATTGGAATTTCAGCATTGTGATTTGAGGCCTCATCAAGATTGGACCGAGGGATAATGGATATGTGCTAATAGGGTATGACTCTGTACAATCTTGAATCCAAAATTTATTGAGGTATATCTAATGTGATTTATGAAAGAAATTTTTGCATCTATTAACACAGCGGTCAGTGCAGTACAAAAACTGCAACTTATTGCCTACACTATCATCCCTGCTTAAGCAATATCTTCCAACTTCCGATGATCATAGCAATCTACTGTTTCTGATTTTCCGATTAGGTTCCCATCGTGCAACCAATCCAAGATGATCTCAGGGTGTTGTGAAAATGATGCATACATGTGCTCTAGATGAGTAGGAGGGTTGTACTTTGGCAAGCAAAATGCACTTGTTCCAGCATGATTATGCATTGACTTGACATGCCTATGCATTAATAAATATTATTCCATTATGTTTTGTTGTCTACATTTCCATAGCAATTTACTTTGCGAAGTCACTACAAAGTCGCTTAAGGTTATGTTCTCTTTTTCAGGAACATAATGTTGTTTGGGTTTCTCTTTTCGGGGTCGGAAGAGATGATCACTCGATGAAGCAGAAATGAGTAATGCAAGTCTTCAATGTTACTGTGCCAACTGTGTTCCTTCAACACTGATCAAACTGTACAAATTGTGCACCTTCTGTTCCAAAAAGCATCGATCAATCACTCGCCAATGATTATTGTACAACCTGAACACATGATAGAATGCCGCAAATTTTGTCAAATCTAATGTTATTCTGGGGACTTCCCAGCTGCTCGGTGTTCAATACTGTCTTTGAAATCATACAAAAGCCATTTTCAGGAAGCAAAAAAATGTGAAGCAAACAAATGTGTAAATGCTATCATTATCTTCTCACCAGATTATGACTTCACTTTGACCACATTGTTATGAAGCATAGAAAAGTTGATTCCTGAGTCCCCATTGGGATCAAATATGAAGTTTTTGAATCACGCTTTGAATTACTATCGATGTTTAGCCACACATACTCCATCTCCTGGCAAGCATATTCTCTGTCGTACTTACACACATACACATTTTTGAACTCGTCATTGCATTATGATATGATGTTACAATTATCTAAGGATTCTAATAATAAGCTTACAGTTGGTTCCATAATGCAATTATTTTACCTCATTGAAAGCTGGATGTCACAGTTGGAACCTTGATTGTTTTGCCTGCTAAGCAAGTTGCTTCGAAGGTATTGCTATCCAAAGCCTACAGAGAGTTGGTAAGCTTTCTACCTTTACCTTTTATTCTCTCTTTCCTCTCCCCTCACCATTGTTATCGAGCCTGCCATAACTTACGCTGTAAAGCTCTTAGTTATGCCGCTTCGAGTCTTGAGGGTGATTGTACCAGTTGAAGGGGTGTCAATATGAATATCATCCAAGGTGATCCAAAAGATGAACTCCTTCGCCTTAACGCCTGTAAGCTTCCTGATCTTCTTGGGTTCAATATAGGCAGTGATGACAGTGTCATAAGAGATGAGCCTACCGCCTATTTCTTCAATTTTGTGTACTTTCTTCTTCCTCTGTTTAAGCCACACATAGCCAGTTTCTTTCTCGTACCTAAATTCTTGTACATCTTGGAGGGGCATCAGCCAATCAGGCAAACCCATTTCTGTCATCAACGAAGTCATCTTCTCTCTGCATATTGCATCTCCATAATAAACCGTAGACATCTCTCTCTCTGTCACACACACACCCCTAGAAAAATGTGTTGGTGTAATTGCAATAAATTGAGAAGTAAAGTACAAAATAATAAAACATCGCACGAAACAATTCAGGCCGCGTCAAGGGTTTCTTGCTCTCTTTAAGGAGATTCAAACATTTTGTGGATGGCAAAGTCCAAAGGAAAACCGGTGTAGCAGATCTTCTCTTTTGATTTGTCTTCTCTGTGATACAATAGTCCAACTTTGTCAAATGATTTTAACCAATTCTGCACAAGTAGTTAAGTCCAAAACTCTTAAAAAAAGAACACTTTTCTTCGATTTGGACTCTCAAGTGTGTATAATATATTATTTAAGTGTTGGATAATTGTTTAAAGGAATAAAATGAACATTTTAGATATCTTATTTATAAACTATTAGAAATTTCTAGAATTCATATATCTAATTTATTCACGTACACATAATATACATGTATTATATTAATAATGATGAATATATGTATTTAATAAAAAGTATGCATGTACGTATACATAATAATATGACACACACACACATATATATACATATATATATATAAAGATTGGTGTATGATATATATATATCATACATTGGTAAAACGAATAATATTAAAATATACCAACATGTTGTAAAGCTGTAGAGAGGCAGGAAATTCAAAAACATGCCAGAATATATTCAGATTTTGTTATTGGTAAAAGAATATATTCGGATTGATTGCTCATGTTACACGTACCTTAAAATGCTTTGGCAACCGAAATAAATATTCCAGGGCATTTGGTATATAAATAACGTCAAGGCAGAGGATAATCGATTAGAATAGGGTGGATACCTTATCAACAAGCAACTACTTGGGGAATGGCTTAGATGGTTGAAATTGCCGACTTCTCTTGATTTGTAAACCATTAAGCCAATCCAATTCATACAGCTAGTCGTCTGTGAAGAATTCCAAAAATAATCAGTTAATTACATAATCTTCAAGGTTCTTCATGGTGCGAAAAATAAGGGATGAAAGGATAAAACGGTATGAATGATTTACCAAGTTGAATAAAAAGGTTAGTCTATTGTCAATTGAGTCTCTAATAAAGAAAAGAAAGTGTTTACAAATGATTCAATCCCTTTCTTGGAGAGCATTTTCTCTTCTATTTTATATAAAGGTGAGTTTTTTGTCCTTATTCCGTTGGTATCATTCGGGAATATTTGACCGTTTGAGGTAATCATATTTATAGGACACGTGATTTTCTAAAAATGGTGAGGTGATATTCTTGAGACGGTAACTTGTTGCCTAAGATAACACGGGCTGACTAACGTTCTCCCCTTGTTATAGTTATGGAATTCGAGCTGACTTGACTGTAACAGAGTTGCTTGGATGTTGCCTGCTGACTTATTTATGATAGACAGCCTCGATTAGAGCTCAACAACTCTGAAGTATAATGAATTTTGCTAAATTATAATTTATGGAGTCAACAGTTCTAATACCACCATCATCAATCAATCATCAAAAAAATATATTTGATTATGAGTCAAGAAAAAATTAAAATTATTTTCTTTCCCAAAAAAAATTTGAGATTTTTTTGGATGTGGGTATATTTTTTTAGACTTATTTGAGAGGAAGTATATGGTTAAGTATTTTATTCTATTAAGTTCAATTTTAATAAAACTTCTTGTAATTAAGTACAAAATTCAAGTGACATTTGAATTTTTTTACTCACATTTCTTTAAATTATTCATAATTCTTATTCTTTTACTCTCACTCGCTCTCCTCTTATTTCTCACATTGTTACTCTCTCTTCATTACTATCTCTCCTATTTTCTCTCTATCTTTCTCCGTTACTTTCTCTCACTCTTCTATTTTTTCTCCCTCTCTCCCATTGATATTTTATTTTATTTTCAAATATTTAAAAATTTGATTTGAAATTTTTAATCTTTCTCTCTCCGCCTATTTTTTCTCACTGTTACTCTCTCCTTATTCTCTCTCTTTATATCAACGTTACAACAACACAATTACATCAATCAGTTACATCATTCTGTTATAATTACCCTATAATGCACCAAACAGTTATTTATCGTGATACTAAATGGTGTAACTCTTTGATTTATGTAAATAACTAAATGATTAGTTGGTTGATGTTGTAATTTCGTGTAATTGTTTGGTGTAACTGATTGATTTATTAGAACACATGAATAACTGTTTAGTGTACTATATGATAATTGTAACTAATTGATGTAATTGTATTGTTGTAACGTTAATTTAAGGAAAGAAAGATTAACAGTGAGAGAAAATAGGGTGAGAGAGAAATAGAAAATATGAGAGATAGATGAAAAAATCAAATTAAATCTTTACATGTTTGAAAAGAAAATAAATTATTAATGAGGGAAAGAGAAAGAGAACGAGAAAGAGAGAGAATAAGGGATAGATTGAGAGAGTAACAAAGAGAGATGGAGAGAAAATAAGGAAAATAGAGTGAGGAGTAACGGGGAAAGAGATATGGAAAGAAAATAAGGAAAATAGAGTGAGAGTAATTTAGACAAAGGGAGGGAGGGAGAGAGTAATAGAGTGATGAATGGTCATTTAATCTTGGATTTTTTGATTGTGAGGACAATTTATTAAACTTATTTGAGGAAAAGTGTATGGATAAGTTATTTATTCTATTAAGTTCAATTTTAATAAAACATATTGTGTTTAGGTACAAAATTCAAATGAAATCAAAATTTGTTTACTTAAATACCCTCTCTTAAATTATGTATTCTTGATTGACTGTTATATATTTAATCAAATATGTAAAGATTTCATTAGACTCTTTCATTATCTCTCCCCTATTTTCTCTTCATCTCTCTCCTTCTTTGTTACTTTCCCATCTCTCCCTTATTTTCTCTTTCTATCTATCATTGATAATTTATTTTCTTTTTAAATATGTAAAGATTGGATTTATTTTTTCATTTCTTTCTCCTATTTTTTTCTCTCTCTCCCTATTTTCTCTAACCATTTCTCTTTCTCCGTATTTTTTTCTATCTCTCTATTTATATCAACATTACAACAATACAATTATACCAATCAGTTATAATTGTCATATAATATACCAAACAATTACTCATATTTTCTAATAAACCAATAATTATACCAAATAGTTACAAAAATTATAATATCAACTCAATTGTATCATTTATTATCGCGACATCATTACACTAATTTTATGTACCAAATTTAGTATAATAGTAAAATTTTCGTGTAATGATAAACCCAATTTGGTGTATATAATTGGTGTAACTATGTCGTGATACTAAATGATGTAACTCTTTGATTTATGTAAATAACTAAATGACAAATTGAGTTGAAGTAGTAATTTCGTATAATTGTTTACTGTAACTGTTTGGTTTATTAAAACATATGAGTAACTATTTGGTGTATTACAGGGTAATTGTAATTAATTGGTATAACTGATTAGTGTAATTGTATTGTTGTAATGTTGATATAAGGAGAGAGAGAGAAAGAGAGAGAGAGAGAGTGAAAGAATAAGGAAATAAGGGGAAANACTAATTGATGTAATTGTATTGTTGTAACGTTAATTTAAGGAAAGAAAGATTAACAGTGAGAGAAAATAGGGTGAGAGAGAAATAGAAAATATGAGAGATAGATGAAAAAATCAAATTAAATCTTTACATGTTTGAAAAGAAAATAAATTATTAATGAGGGAAAGAGAAAGAGAACGAGAAAGAGAGAGAATAAGGGATAGATTGAGAGAGTAACAAAGAGAGATGGAGAGAAAATAAGGAAAATAGAGTGAGGAGTAACGGGGAAAGAGATATGGAAAGAAAATAAGGAAAATAGAGTGAGAGTAATTTAGACAAAGGGAGGGAGGGAGAGAGTAATAGAGTGATGAATGGTCATTTAATCTTGGATTTTTTGATTGTGAGGACAATTTATTAAACTTATTTGAGGAAAAGTGTATGGATAAGTTATTTATTCTATTAAGTTCAATTTTAATAAAACATATTGTGTTTAGGTACAAAATTCAAATGAAATCAAAATTTGTTTACTTAAATACCCTCTCTTAAATTATGTATTCTTGATTGACTGTTATATATTTAATCAAATATGTAAAGATTTCATTAGACTCTTTCATTATCTCTCCCCTATTTTCTCTTCATCTCTCTCCTTCTTTGTTACTTTCCCATCTCTCCCTTATTTTCTCTTTCTATCTATCATTGATAATTTATTTTCTTTTTAAATATGTAAAGATTGGATTTATTTTTTCATTTCTTTCTCCTATTTTTTTCTCTCTCTCCCTATTTTCTCTAACCATTTCTCTTTCTCCGTATTTTTTTCTATCTCTCTATTTATATCAACATTACAACAATACAATTATACCAATCAGTTATAATTGTCATATAATATACCAAACAATTACTCATATTTTCTAATAAACCAATAATTATACCAAATAGTTACAAAAATTATAATATCAACTCAATTGTATCATTTATTATCGCGACATCATTACACTAATTTTATGTACCAAATTTAGTATAATAGTAAAATTTTCGTGTAATGATAAACCCAATTTGGTGTATATAATTGGTGTAACTATGTCGTGATACTAAATGATGTAACTCTTTGATTTATGTAAATAACTAAATGACAAATTGAGTTGAAGTAGTAATTTCGTATAATTGTTTACTGTAACTGTTTGGTTTATTAAAACATATGAGTAACTATTTGGTGTATTACAGGGTAATTGTAATTAATTGGTATAACTGATTAGTGTAATTGTATTGTTGTAATGTTGATATAAGGAGAGAGAGAGAAAGAGAGAGAGAGAGAGTGAAAGAATAAGGAAATAAGGGGAAAGGGAATGAGAGAAAGAGAAAAAAATAGGGGAGATATGAAAAAATTAAATCAAATCTTTACATGTTTAAAAAAAATAATTTATCAATGTGAGAGAAATAGATAGAGAGAAAATAGGGAAGAAAGAGTGAGAAAGAAGGAGAGAGAGTAATGGAGCAATAAACGACCTTAGTCTTTTTTCAAAAAAAAAATATTTAGCGCCAAATAAGTTTCTTTAATATAATTTAGCTCAAATAAGTCTAAATTTTTGTACCGACTTTCAATTTACCCCTTAATTTTTTTCAAAAAAATACACTGAGGATCAAATAAGTTTCCTTAATATAATTTAGCTCAATTAAG